CGGTTAGAGAAGGTGCAAGAGGTGCAGGATGAGAAATAAGAGAGAGAGAGAGAGAGAGAGAGAGAGCGCGGTACGCATTTTCGCGCATTAAGAGTACGCGGATATATTGCTTTACTCCTGTCAGATAGCGTAGCTTAGATACCTTCACTGCGGACAAGACGTCGAATCCGGGGCTGCCCAGCTCACCCTTCTGTCCTTTGTCACCAGGTCGGCCCTGCGAACAAAAGAGACACTGTGTATTACATGGAGTAATAACGCGATAAACAGAATGAACATGCTTTCAACATGAATATCCTTTCCTTTATCGTTAACTATATCGCGATCAAAGATTTCTCGACTTTAATGTCGAATTAATTCTAAAAAAAATACCAAGAGATTTTTCCTCACTTGAAATTAAAAAAAAAATTTTTTCTTTCTTCTTGTAATTATTTTATCATCTTAATTCGTTCAATTAAATGTTGTAACGGTATGCTGAGATTTTCTTTTGGTAATTTATCTTTGTGTATGGAATTACAGACACTTTCAGTTTTAATCAAGAATTTTGCTGCTATCGTTCCGTTTCAGAGATAACGTAGAACGTCTGTAACGGAAGATTCTGCAGATTCTATTATTAAAGTAAATGAGATTTTCCGAATAATTTCGCTTATTAAAATTTTCTCTCATATTAATCTACATAAAAGTTTGACGCGCATGTAAGTTTTCACACGCTTTCATCGATTATTCTTTTTAACAATAATATACGTGATTAATCCTTATCTTATTCTTTAATTTCGCATGAGATTATTATTACTACTTAAAACTATCGTTATTAATGTAAACTCGTTGTGTATTCGTAACAAATAAACAAAGTACAAATAAAATTGTTAGATACATTAGAAGACAAGATAATTACAAAAACATTGAATGTTTAAATTGTGTCGCATATTTCTCTTAGAATAACACAAAATACTGCACTAGAGGTTCACAATCAGATTTAATCCACAGTCATTGTATGAAGTATGCGAGAGAAGACCCAGCCGTAAAAAGCCGATTCATTTCTATTCTACTCTAAAGCCGATTTATTTAGATTTACTTTTCCGCGCTGTATCAATGCACAAGAACTATATTATCATGCATATGGAGTCTCCTCACAATGCATCTTGATGAAGAGACCGGCGTTAAAACTCCATTTCGCAAAATTGTAGGGCTTTTCGATTACGCGATTCAGCGAGGGTTAAATATGCGATTTAATATTTCGTTAGGGCTCAGGACAGGGGATAGCGCGCGCGTACAGTAAATGTAAATTTCAAAGAAGGTAAACCGTGTATTTGCGTGAAATCTAGCTGCCGGAGTAACACAGAGTAAACTCCACGATCCCGAGGCAAATTGCGGCGCTACTTGCTGTAACCTGCGCCGCGACTATTTGCACGAAATCCGATATAAACGTCGAGATTCGTTATTCGAATCTCGGGAAAATACCCGTCCTGTGTGCGGTCCTGTATTGGTCGCCGGCGACTGTGTACACACTCGTTTGCCACACTCGTTTAAAGAAAACGCCGGCCGGGCAAAGAGAGGAACACGAGAGAGAGAGAGAGAGAGAGAGAGGAAGGAGTGCGCGGTACGCATTTTCGCGCATTAAGAGTGCGCGGATATATTGCTTTACTCCTGTCAGATAGCGTAGCTTAGATACCTTCACTGCGGACAAGACGTCGAATCCGGGGCTGCCCAGCTCACCCTTCTGTCCTTTGTCACCAGGTCGGCCCTGCGAACAAAAGAGACACTGTGTATTACATGGAGTAATAACGCGATAAACAGAATGAACATGCTTTCAACATGAATATCCTTTCCTTTATCGTTAACTATATCGCGATCAAAGATTTCTCGACTTTAATGTCGAATTAATTCTAAAAAAAATACCAAGAGATTTTTCCTCACTTGAAATTAAAAAAAAAATTTTTTCTTTCTTCTTGTAATTATTTTATCATCTTAATTCGTTCAATTAAATGTTGTAACGGTATGCTGAGATTTTCTTTTGGTAATTTATCTTTGTGTATGGAATTACAGACACTTTCAGTTTTAATCAAGAATTTTGCTGCTATCGTTCCGTTTCAGAGATAACGTAGAACGTCTGTAACGGAAGATTCTGCAGATTCTATTATTAAAGTAAATGAGATTTTCCGAATAATTTCGCTTATTAAAATTTTCTCTCATATTAATCTACATAAAAGTTTGACGCGCATGTAAGTTTTCACACGCTTTCATCGATTATTCTTTTTAACAATAATATACGTGATTAATCCTTATCTTATTCTTTAATTTCGCATGAGATTATTATTACTACTTAAAACTATCGTTATTAATGTAAACTCGTTGTGTATTCGTAACAAATAAACAAAGTACAAATAAAATTGTTAGATACATTAGAAGACAAGATAATTACAAAAACATTGAATGTTTAAATTGTGTCGCATATTTCTCTTAGAATAACACAAAATACTGCACTAGAGGTTCACAATCAGATTTAATCCACAGTCATTGTATGAAGTATGCGAGAGAAGACCCAGCCGTAAAAAGCCGATTCATTTCTATTCTACTCTAAAGCCGATTTATTTAGATTTACTTTTCCGCGCTGTATCAATGCACAAGAACTATATTATCATGCATATGGAGTCTCCTCACAATGCATCTTGATGAAGAGACCGGCGTTAAAACTCCATTTCGCAAAATTGTAGGGCTTTTCGATTACGCGATTCAGCGAGGGTTAAATATGCGATTTAATATTTCGTTAGGGCTCAGGACAGGGGATAGCGCGCGCGTACAGTAAATGTAAATTTCAAAGAAGGTAAACCGTGTATTTGCGTGAAATCTCGCCGCCGGAGTAACACAGAGTAAACTCCACGATCCCGAGGCAAATTGCGGCGCTACTTGCTGTAACCTGCGCCGCGACTATTTGCACGAAATCCGATATAAACGTCGAGATTCGTTATTCGAATCTCGGGAAAATACCCGTCCTGTGTGCGGTCCTGTATTGGTCGCCGGCGACTGTGTACACACTCGTTTGCCACACTCGTTTAAAGAAAACGCCGGCCGGGCAAAGAGAGGAACACGAGAGAGAGAGAGAGAGAGAGAGAGGAAGGAGTCGATCGCGCGCGTTTGGGTCTCTTTTCTTTTCCCGGCCATCGACAGAATAAATATCACGCGATATTTGCAATGCACTTATTGCTCCTTCCTTCTCTCTCTCTTTCTGTCTCTCCGGTTCCTCTCTTTTCCACCGGCGCGTTCTCGTTCCCTTCCTCTCCTGGGTACGGTCTCTCGCTATCTGTTTACTTTGTCGTTTGTACCTTACCGCCACCGAGACCAGCCACGTCAACGTACCACCTACCACACAATACATCCTCATGTATATTCTCCCCAGTTTGTCGGATACCTGAACGTACACAGGGTGTCCCAGAACTATCGTCGCACCTTTCATCTGAGCTCTCTCGATCGACTCGAGGTTAATTGTTCTTTGATGAAAATTGTATTGGATTTTAACTTTCTCGCGCGTAACTTTTTATCCCTTAGCATAAAGTATCTCGCTAACTGCGTGTCTCAAATTACAATTATATTCAATTATAGTCCATTTACGAGACAAGGTACAAAATGATACTTTATTATCTAGTTATTCGCATCTATGTGTGAAAAGCACTTATTATCGTGTCGTCAACCTTTTTAATTAATTACATAGTGTCTGTAGTTAAGGGAAATGGCAGAAATTCTGCGACATCCTATGCATCAACCTATACGCGACACATTCGTATATGTGTGTGTGTGTGTAAAGGCTCTACGATAAGGCAAACTAGGTGGCTACAAAGGGCCACCAACGCAAGGACCTGTCATGCGAAAAGACTTTGCGTGTCACAAGGACCTTGTGTATAACTGAGTCACGTATACACGACAATCTCGTCGCGCAATGATCTTGCATATATGTCAAGACGGATCATAAGCTGTACAGAATTTGGATCCCAACAATTAAATCCAAAACGTATTCGTGCGACGATAGTTCTTTCATATATTTGCGAATACGCATCAAGATTCGTCATCGTCGAGAAAAGTTTAAGAGAGCAATGACGTCTCGCGTTCGGCTTGCATGTGCAATGACTAGACCAATAATAAGAATAATAAGTCGGCGAATAAGGAATGCGGACGAGTCAATTCGCGTTCGCGTCGGTTCCGATATTCGCATCCTGCTCGTCCGCGCATTTGAGGAGACATCCCGCCATTATCTATGTATATGACTGTTATGCATTTATGAATGATAAGCAAAACGAGATGACGATGACGACGACAACGATGATGAGGAGGGGGCGGTACACATCGCAACTTTGTACGTCGTCTCCTATACGATTTACGACTCACGGCAACCCGTTCAGTGTGAGAGGAAGGTAGTACGTAATAGCAGGCCAGTTGATGAATAGTTTCAAACGATGAATCGGACTGGAGTTAAAAGATCGTATCCCGTAGAAAATATAGCAACCGAGCGCAGACGAGAGCAACTGCTTTCCGGCGAACGGCAGAATTAATAGAGTAAGTGGACGCAAGTGAGCGAGCAAATCTTCAATTTAAAATCCGATTCATCTTCCGATTCTATTCGACCGACGCTACTATAATCGCGAACAAGAGTATGTACGCAGTCGTCTCTTAATAAATCGCGATATATCTACAACTATTGACTAAACGATTGCTAGTTAAAAAGATACAGATAATTAAATTTGTACGTCAAATTTTTTGATAAACTTGACTTTTGTTTTGTTAAAGTTACCTGTTGCTTGTGAAAAAATTGAATAATTTGATTTGTCATAATTTCTTAACTCCATTATAACGATTGCAAAATATTAGCGGTAATATAATTTTTATAAATACGTTTTAGAACGTAACCTTTTAGCTACATAAATATATTCGCTACGTAAAAATAGTTTTCAGGTTAACTTTATATAGTTACAATTTTCTCTCCAATACTTTCTTAAATTAAAAAATTTTTCTACAGTCACAAAAGAGTCGACGCTTGTCTGCAAGACCGCAAGTCAATACATATTGCAAGTTTAATGTGTTCCAGATTTTTTACCTATACACTGTGTACATTGCGAATATCAGAACACTATGGAAAACACTGTGTTTAATTTTCATTTATTAGCGACAAAAAAATAAAATAATATACAATAATAATAATAATTCTCGATTAGCTGTTTTAGGGACGCATCCGATATAAATGTTGGCAAAAACATCTGTATCGAATGTTTCATTTGATTTTAAACTTCGATACATTTATATGCATTTTAACTACGCACATCAAAAACCGAGTTTGATAGCGAACTCTAGGGTACCCGAGTGTATCGCTCGTATGATTGATCATCCTGCATTTTTATGGCTAATTCATTGAACATATGTCAGAAGCAGCGAGCGAACAAAGGGGACGAGAGAAAAAGTGCTGGAGCAGAACGAGTCTGTAATTAACAAACACGTAAACATGTTCCGGTTCTCATACTGAACATGTGTGTAATCATAGATCGAGTACTGATCGTGTATCTCGAAATACTGGCTAAATATCTTACTCTGATTTCGATTGAAATATGATGCGAAATAAATCGGTAAAAGTTTTCATTCTTTCCGGAACAGCTGTATCTGACGGAAACTCGATATCAAAATTCTCGCTCTCTTGTTTCATTATCTTTACATCTGTCATTTCAAACGTTTGATTTTGTTACTTTTGTTCTTGATCATAATCTTTTTCAAGGTAAGACTCACGTCATATGTGTGATGCGCGACTGTACTTTAGAAATATACTCGTTTAATTAATCTGAAGCTGCATAAAAAGATACGTTTTAAATAAATTCCCGATGTGATATCTGAGAATAATGTGATAGGCAGATATTTCTGAAATATCTTACGCGACCTCCTTTCACATTTATATAATTAGGGCAAACAATTTAGATAACACGTTTAATTTTGTAACTGTGCTAAATAAAACATACGAATGATCAGCCGATATCAATAGTTGCAGTGAAACAAAAAAATTTTTTAAATATATGTATCTCACATATATCGCGAGCTGACTGTTTTACAATGTTTAGCTTTTGTTTCTATCGCGCAAATTTCATTTCATTAAATATGTATGAAACCGTATAAAAATTCATGAATCAAGCAGCACATTTCGACATTCCTGTGGTTACAATAAGAGAAAGAGCCATTATTATTATGATATATTATGTAAGCATAAATTTTGTGGGATTTTTCACCGCACGAAATACATTATGATTAAATTCTGGCGCGTCCATAATCCTTATTCTATTATATAATGCTATATTTAAAATATTAAGCGTCATGAATAAAGTATCTTCTTTCATGCTTTGACGATACAATTAATATCGCACGCTTATAACTCCGCGAGGAAATAAAAATCTAAGTTATACGGTGAACTTACCGGATCACCTTTGGGTCCGTCCAAGCCGATGGGTCCCTGAAAGAACACCGCCGATCAGTGCCAGTCGTCGCTTTCACGCGTCCGTAAACGACGAACGAAGAAAAGTGAAAAATTGCGGGCTGAGCACGCCCTTGAAAATTTCATTCCTTGTGTATGTAACATGTAATAAATATGGACGAGCGCGACAAACCAGAATCGTGATGAGTCGTTATGCTTCCAGGCACGACAAAAGTGCATGATTCTTCCCGATGTATTATAGTAACATACATTTGCGGCGCGACGCGAAAATATCGCGACGAAACGCCGTTAATAGAAACTTTATTCAGCACACGTGAATTTTTAATTTTGCACAGCTTCGATCCTGATAGGGCAACTCTTATATTTGATGCCAGGTCATATCCTCAGATCATATGACTCGTTGTCATCTTTATGCCAATTTATTTCGAATTTCTTTCAAAATCATATTATCGCCGTTGATCACGTTTGACGATTAAATGTTGGTTTACGCGTCAGTTTATGTGAAATTTTTCATTACATGAATTTAAATTTGGGAATAAAATTTTTAATTGCGT